GATGTGAGTGACAGACAGCTAGTGAGAGGAAGCAGTGTGTGGCCCAGCACTCTGTTGGGGAACAGGAAGGAGCCAGCCACCCAGAACTCTGGGAAAGCAGCTCAGGCAACAAAAGCAGCCAGGGCATAGGTCCTGATCCAGCTGAGTCTTCAATGTCCAGCTAGGGAGCTTCACTCTTCATAACTCATCTTACTGGTCCAGCACGGCTGCCTCCACAACGAAGTGAAACTTCTAGCTGCTAGGCAGAACTGTTTTCTGGAAACCTGGCAAGGGCTGGAGGCACAAGATATTCTGTAGAAAGTCCAGGAGCCTCTTAGAGTCTCGGAGGTATCTGCTCTCCCCTAACAGAGCCACCCATGCTCCCAACACGGGTGACAGGCAGGAGCAATTTCTGGAACACTCATCACCTTTTTTCAGAGAAACAAAGCAAAATAAAACAAAACAACAACAGCAGCTGCAGCAGCAACAACAAAACAAAACAAACAAATAAAAAACCCAAAACAAAACAAAAAGACCAAAAAACCCTTAAAAAAAAAAACCCAAACAAACCAAAAAAAAAAAAAAAACAAAAAACCAGAAAACAGCTTGTGAGAAAGAGAAAACAATGGATCATAATTTAGCAAAAGCGCCTTAGATCCAGCTAGGATAACAGATAAATTCTATAGAAAATTTAAGAGTTTAAGAGGATGGTTCAGTCAGTAAAGTGTTTGCCTTGCAGGAAGGAGGACCTGTGTTTGATTCCCAGCTGGGAACAGTGGTGTGCATTTCTAACTACAGTTTTGGGAAAGAAGGCACAGGAGCTCCCTGGGGCTTGCTGGCTAGCAAGCCTAGCTCACTTACAAGCACCAGTGATAGACCCTGTCAAAATACATGCAAGCAGCACACATTCACACATTTAAGGGAGAAATGACGACACTCCTCAGTCATCTTCAAAGGACAAAAGAGGAAAGAACACTCCTTGCCTCATAGTAAGACCAGCATGTGGCCCTAATGCCAAACCAGACACAGACAGCCCAGAAGAGAGAAGTCTGGGACAAGGTGTCTCATTCCTGTAGGCATAAAGACCTCAAGTAGAATCTCAACAGTGTGTAAAGACACCATGGATCACAAATTAGGAATAGGAGGAAATTTTAATTTGGTAAACATCACAAGATCTTACCAGATAATACTGTTAGTTAAGGGCAAAGGACTAAGTAGTGGCTTTTCTATTGACATCTGGAGCAAAAGGCAGGTATCTTGTCTTTCTTTACTGCCCTATAATTCCACTCTGGTTGGGAGATCCTCAACTTTTCTAAGCCCGTGACCTCAGGACAGGACAGGGGTCTTTGCTAATAGGTCATGCCTAGTGGGGACCCTGGGTGCTGAGGGAACTGTCCAATCCTGCAGGGACAAGGAGGTCAGCCTTCTGAAGCAGTGGATTACCACCATGATGATATCAATCTCCAAGGAGGAGGAGTCAGCTGCAGAACTGGAGCTTAAAGCCCGAGTCTTTCACTTCGGGGAGTATCAGGGTGACCAACAGGTAAAGACAAGGTTGTCTTAGGGCAGAGGCCAGGCCCTGCACCCCAGACCTTGCCCACTTCCTAGGTTCTGGGTGCTTGGTGTGGCATGTGCCCAGGGCTGTCTGCTTACCCATCCCCTTAGCTGCCTGCACTGTCTCCCAGACTCTCAGCAATAGAGACCAGGTCCTGGTCAGGAGCTTAGCACACATACACGTAGAAATCTCATCTGCTCAGTAAAGTTTTGGTTCTTTCCAGTACTGCCCAGTGCCTTGTGTGACAGTCACCAGGCTGGGGGCCTGGCTTCTGGCTAGCCAAGAGCTACTGGGCACTGGCTGTGGCTAGACTTGACTTTTTGCCTGCTGCTGTGTATTAGTAGTTACTCAACGCCCACACAGCAGTTGTTACCTGCTTTCTGAATGTCAGAACAGGCTCAGAAATGGATGAATTTATCTACCCAAGGCTTCACAGAATGTGGTTCTGTAGGGAGTTGGGACCAGTGCATGGCTCCCTGGAACACAAGATTGGGCCTCAGTGGGTTTGCTAAGGAAGCTGGGGGAGGGACTGGGATATGAGGCAAGTTAGAAGCTTGACCATACCTGGCTAAGGAAAGCAGGTACCATTGCTCCAGCCCACGCTGCATCCATACTGTGGCTGTTCCATCCTGGATGGCAAGCCATGAAGGCTGCTGTAGGCTATTATGTGAGGGTGATCAGGGACCTGCAGTCATGCCACACTGCTGATCGTCCCCAGGACAAGATGTTGGAGAGCCTGAACCACAAGGTGCTGGATGTGTACCGGAAATGTGTGGGCATACAGCAGGAGGCCAACCTGGGCACAGTGCAGATGCTGACTGTGGTGGAGCACCAGCTGGATGAGCTGCTGGAGAATCTGGAGCGAGTGCCTCAGGTCAAGATCGAGCAGGCTGAGAAGGTCAAGGAGAGGGAGCGGCGCATGAGGTCAGCCACTGTGCTCACCTGTCTGTGGCTGCAGGCTTGGCTATGTGCAGGGTGATCTATCTAGTCAGTGTCCACCATTATGACTCTCCTGCCCAGAGCTGGGCTCAGGACTCTGTATCATGAGGCTGAGGTCATTGTTTGTTGATTCCACAGGGCAGAAGCCATGGGCTCTCTGCCTGGTCATCCACTTATATGTGGGGTCCTGGGACATAACCATCTGCCAAGTCTGTCTGTCTCTTCTAAGGTTGGGGCAACCTTTTCTGGGGGCCTGGCACCTGCTCTAAGGCTAATGTCCTAGTTGGGTGCTAGGTTGTAGGTCTGTGGGCACAAGAATGAAAACACAGATGTGGATCCAGGAACATAAGTTTTCTTGGGCCCATGGACTGAACCTTAGGTCAACCTCATGGCCAGCATAACATCTATATATCCCTGCCTGCCTTCTTCCCAAGCCTTGGCCACTTGCCCAGGACTGACAGGAATGGCAGAGGGGACATTTTCACATGTAAGAGGGCATGGGCTAACTTGGAGCCTGAGTGAGAAAAGCAGAGATCCTCCCAGGCCCTGGTCCTCGTAAGCTCACCTCTTGTTCCCAGGCTTCGTGAAGAGAAGGCCAAGATGCAGAAGCAGTTGCAGGAGGAACGTCTGCAGCGGGCTCGAGCCAGGGCCCAGGCTAAAATAAAGAAGAAGGTGAGGGGTGGTGCCAGGGTCACTCTAGGGTGTACCTCCCAGGCTCTCCAGCCTGAGCTCCAAGGCCTCTCTGCAGGCAAATCACTCTGCTGAAGAAACAGACAGCTGCTTGCAGTGCCAAAATAGAGTAGAGAAGTCTCCAAAGCCAGGCTCTTCTAGTGTCCCTGTCATAGGGGCTGTCCTCCTCCCCAGGATCAACCTCCCAGATGTGCTGCACCCTTGCCAGGTGCAGATGCTCAGCTCACAGAAGTCACACTACCATCCAGTCTCTCTCAGGGTCCTGCTGCTCTCTCTGTCCACCCCCAGATAGACCTGGGGCCAAGCCCTGTTGCTAGGCCTGTGTCTTCTGGGCCTCAAGCCCTCACCCCACAGAAAATGGACTGTGGCATTTAGATGTGTTAGCACAAAGTCTGGTCCAGGAAGCAGACCTGGAGCCAAGGATAGCCTCTTGAGAAGCAGGAGCTGGCTGGCATCTAAAAAACATGGCTGCCATTACTTTGGAAAGATGAACACTATTAATATTAAGATACTACTAAACATTCCAGTGCTTAGTTCAGAAAGAGAGCTGACACATATTTCCCTTCAGAAGATGTAGCTCAATAGGAGAGTCTTCTAGGCCGTGATCAGGACTCGGATGGCAAGGAGAGCACTAGGCAGAAATAGTACGGTATATGGAGGTCTAAATGTAACAGGGCCTTCTTAGTAGAGAGGAGCTTCATTAAGAGAAGGGGTTAGGGGGTAGAGGGGATGAGGGAGAGCACATACTGCCATGAGAAGGATGGCAGGGCAGAGGAGCTTCTTCAGAAAGCAACTTTCAGAGAACCTTCCCAAGCAAATCCAAGAACAAAGGTAATAGCCAACTAAGTTCTATGGGGCTGGGTAGGGGGCTGGCTGCAAGTATCACATTACATGTTTTAGTCCAACATAGTGTATGTGACAAAGGCATGGAAAAACTTGGACTGGTTAGGACCAACAGTCCAGGTCTATTGGACACAACACAGACAGCTCAACTCTGTACAAGAGAGAGCTATAAGGTATGGGATTGGGCTTTTAAAGAGTGATCACTGACATTGTAGGGGCCAGCCTGTCTTCACACTGCAGGGTCTCCTGTGGAAGCCCCGAGCTAGGCAATGCTTTAGCCCTTGCCCCTCACAAGGTATGCTCCATGGAGCTTGCATGTTGTCTGCTGGGATGGTCTACAGTCTAGGTCCCTTTAGTCAGTACCACCCTTGAGTGGCTGGCCTGCACGGCTAGATTTGCTGCCCTCTTCCTGCACCTTATGGCGGGGGACATAGGGAGCATGGCATGTACATAGCTAGTACAGGCTCACCACGTTCACTTCCCCTGCAGAGAGGCCGGAAATTGGTATGCCGTTCGCATCCACCAGTCATCAAAGTAAAGGAGGTGCGTGAACAGACGCTGATAGACAAGGACAAGGAGGAGATGCTCTTCTTCTTCACTTAGCAGAGCTGGCTGAGGGCTCAGGAAGATGTCAGCAGTAAGTGAAGGCAGGGACTGTAAGCCTGAGGGGTCCCTAACTCCATCTCATTCTTTGCTGTCAGCCTCCTTACTCACAGGAAATAAAATCATGTCTCTTGGGAGTCTGAATGACCTGCTGAAGAAGCCTCTTGGAACCCCTTTTGTCCTTTCATCCAAAGCATGTGCTCGAGGGACGAACACTATGCTGGTTCTCATCACAAACAGCTGCTTGGAGAGAAGTCTAAAATCTGTCCCTGAGGAGGGCAAGATGGTACTGGCCCTTGGAGACAAATGAACCAGGAGCCAGCTGGGAAGAAGTGGGAAGAATCTCAACACCATGCATACATAGTACCTTGAATGAAACCAGAGCAAAAGCTTTGGCATGTAACATACAAACACGTTTATTCATTTGTACTAAGGACTGGGCCTGTGGCAGCAGGAAGCTCCAGTGCTCAGAGCACAACAGTCCATTCTGTCATTTGCAGACACACGCTGGAGGCTGTGGGACAAAAAAACTTCTCTGTAGGGTGGGCTCTTGAGGCAGGCAACAGTGATTCCAGGCTGCCTATTGAGTGTGTATGGGAGTGCTGATTACAGGTAGGCAAGTTCAACCCCTAAACTTTGGCCTGTGATGTGGGAGAGACATGTGGAAAGGAGTCTTCTCAAGTAGGATTTGTAATCCCTACAAAGGGTTGTAGGGAGCAGCACCCAGGTAGACAGCACCACAGAGCCATCTAGAGAAGACTCATGCCCAGTTTCAGGGCTCTCCCTAAATCCAAGAAACAAAGCAACTCAGATAGGACAGAACCAAAACAGTATCTGAATAAACACACACTCCAAAAGCCCAAGAAAAATGTATTTCTGAGTGACCCTGTATCCAGTCCTGACTAACAAGTATGTGCAAGGCAACCAACTGTCTTCTCAGGGAAGACCAAATCACTCTCTGAAAACACACAAGGCCATATAATATGCTTATCTCCAACCTCAACCATAAAACAAGCCTATTGTTCCAGCCCTACACATAACATACAGCATTCAGACCTCACTGTGGAGACTGCAAATTACTATTTACCATAAATCCCAGAAACAATTTAGAAAGATGACTTTAAAAGCTGCAACTCTCCATTCCCAAACTCTGAGCACACTGTCAGTCTAGGAAGAGGTTCTATTAGCAGGCCACTGGGGGTGGCAAGCCAACCAACCACCTTTCAGACTAACTGCCCTGCCAGAGCTCAACCTGACTTTGGCTTCACCATGGCATACAGTGTAGTGAAACCAACACACCTACCAAAACCATCCATGCAGGTGAGAAGCCGTCTGTCATACAAGCTCTCAGAAAAGAACCAAATTTCTAGATGCGTCAGACAAAATACTAACACACTACAACCCAGTATAGAGATGTATGTGAGTAGGGATGCTCTACCCATTTCCTGCAAGGATCTTTACATGTAAAAGGTGCTGCCCACCTCAGGCCCAAGGGGACCTGGGAAGGGCTGGAATGCACACACACAGCATGGGCAGGGTTCCTATCTCACAGAGGGCAACCTGTGGAGGCAGTTTCAAAGAGTATAGCCCAAACTGGCTCTTGCTGGAACAGACTCAAAGTACTTTCAATATGTGTACCCCGAAGTCTCAAAGAACCAGGCTGGAGTGCTGAGGAAGTCTGATGAGTCTCTCTGCCCACCCCACAGCCAGCTGAGGTCGTGAAGCACAGCCTGGAATGCAGTCCTCACTTGCTCAGACTGCTGTCATTGCAGGTCCCGAAGGTTGATAGTACTTCCTGGTACCTGTGCAGTCTCCAGCCCAGCAAAACCTCCAGGTGCTGGAAGCACTTCCTGTAAAGCCAAGCAGAAAAGTAAGGAGTAGGTAAAGAAGAGAAGAGGAAGGCACAGCAGAGATGTGGCCACACCTTACGTTCCTTCAAAGAACAATGTGACAGATACGGTGGCATAAGCTTTTGATCCCAGCATGAAGAAGGCAGAGACAGGTCAGCCAGTGTACGCTACAAAGTGGCACCCCATCTTAAAAGAAGGAAGGAAGGAAGGAAGGAAGGAAGGAAGGAAGGAAGGAAGGAAGGA